AGAGAGCGCGAGAGAGAGAGAGAGAGAGAGAGCGCGCGCGCGCGCGAGAGAGAGAGAGAGAGCGCGAGAGAGAAAGAGAGAGAGAGCGAGACAAAAAAAAAGGTGAGAAATGGCGCGTTGCATACGTACAGACGATATTTATTAGTGCCTTGGCAATACCGGGTGGGCGGCACTAATGCCGGAAGAATCATTGCATGAATTGGTCTAAATTATACGCAAATTACTCTTAGTATAATGCGGTAAGTCTGTGCGGGCGTGCGCTCGCTCGTGTGTTCGTGTGCCTGCGTACGTGTGCGCGTTCGTGCAAGCGTATCCGTGCCCGTCTTAGCGTTTGCGTGACGTCATACGTGTACATTTGAAGCAGCCGGCTGAAAGGGGTGGTAGGATATGTTTACTAGGCACTTCTAATTTTAACATATATTTTACGATATATTAAAGAATGATGCAAAAACCCTAAAAAGTGCCCTAACCCTAACCCTAGCCCTAACCCTAACCCTAACCCTAACCCTAACCCTGACCCTAATTAAATTTAAAATATATGTTAAAATTAGAAGTGCCTAGTAAACATATCCTACCACCCCTTTCAGCCGGCTGCACATTTGAACGGCACAACAACCCGCCCTTTTATTCGTGCTTGTGCGTGTACATGCGAGCTAGCGTGTACACTGCCTGCGTGCGTTGACATCTCAACGGCACAACAACCCCTCCGTATGTACATCTGCATGACACGACAACACATCCTTATGCGCGCGTGCGTGTGTGAGTGCGTGTGCGTGCACGCACCTGCGCGCGTGTACATCTGAACGGCACATAATACGTATTTATGTTTGCGGAGACGTGTGCGTGAGCGTGCGAGCATGTGCGTGTGTGCGTGCGTGTACATCTGAATGACACAACACCCCCGCCTTCATGCGTGCGTGCGTTTCTGTGCGTAGGTGCGTTTCTTCTCCCCTACGCCATAATGCTGGCTGTTGGAGGAATTCCGCTCTTCTACATGGAGCTTGCTCTCGGCCAGTACAACCGGAAAGGAGCCATCACCTGTTGGAAACGTATCTGTCCGCTGTTCAGAGGTAATCCTTATCAAGCTACCTATACCGCAATATCATCTACTCACACACATAATGATACAGTATATATAGCCATTTGTGTTATTATCAGGAATAAAGAGTATTGGAATATGCATGTTATCAGGAGTTTGTTTCGTTTGTCTTTATTAACTCCTGTTGTTATTAGTGTGTATCGTATTATATTTATTGTATATGTCTATGTAATCTAATACATATATTGTATTGATTGCACTGAAATATTTGTATTGTACTATTTGCATTAAAAGGATACATAATCCTAGGTTTCTTGCATATTTTCAGTTAAAATAGGTTTAAATTACGCTACGTAAAAATTTCTATGTTCACTATTCGTTAGAAATATTTTCAAAGATTGTTTTAAAACGGGCTTTATCGTTGCTTACAACGACGGTGGCGCCACTACTAGCCCATCTGCTTTCAAAGCTGCGCGTCGCAAGTTTTCGGCTGCAGGCTACAAACAGAGGGTGTTTCTTATTTATTAATTTAAGAGAAGAAGGATTGCAATATCCAGCAACATCAATGTACATTGTAATATAGGTATTTCACTCTGAATTTTCATACGTTCATTGTCAGGGGCGGATCCAGGGCTGAAGCTAGACAGTATTTTTCCAGATTTTAAGGGCACATCCCCCAATAAGGGCACACCACCCCACAGTGGGCGCCGTTATAGGCGCCGCGGAAGCACATTGAAATTTCAAAATTTCAACGGTACCTAGGCACAAAAATGAGCACCATTTGAGCACACATTTAGTCAAGCAGTAATAGCTAAAAACCATATGGGATTTTATTTCTGCTTCATTTTGCCTGCGCTTTGCATACCAGCAATTAATGCAGAATGATTCAAGCACTTCCCTTCTTTTTCAGATATCAAAGCTAGTTTTGTTACCATGTAAAATTTTGATTTCTTTCAAGTCCTGTCAATGAATCAGAAGAAAAAGAAAACAAATAAAGAATATAGCAAAATTCCATCAAATTGTTTTCTGTATTTTTTAGCGCAAAATTTCGAAGGGCACTTTGAAAGCTAGACCGTATTTCCCAATACGGCAAATACGGTCTGAATCCGCCCCTGATTGTTGTAATTGTACTACAGTATCTGTATTGTTATATGTATTATACTTTTGCGTTGTTTATTGTATGATATTGTAAATATTGTATTACGTCAATTGCGATATGATTACCGGCCACCATACCATCTATAGTTATATCATGTACATTCTTACTATATCTATTAATCGATCACCGAATCATAGGTGTGTTGTTTGTTATCCAGCCCCTGGTTATTGCCTGCTCTATTTGAACTGCATTATTGAACTGTTTAGGATGTTCTCTATAATGATGTAGTAGTCGGGCCGCGCGCGTGTGCGTGTGTCTTGGTGCGTGCACGCGCGTATGTGCGCGCGCTGTACGCGTGCGTGCGTATGCGTGCGTGAGCGCGTGTGCGTATGTGTGCGTGTGCGTGTGCATGCGTGTGTGCGCGCGTGCGTATGTGTGCGTGCGTGTTTATCCGTGCGTGTGTACGTATTTATGTAGATATTTTCTAATCGCATCTCACGCTGCGTGACCGCAGCACAATTACGGAGAACCCGCGGAGAGAGAAATAGAGAGAGAGCGAGAGAGAGCGAGATAGAGAGAGGGGGAGAGGGGGAGAGAGAGAGAGAGAGAGAGAGGAGAGAAGGCGCGGGTATAATTAGCCCGTTATTAAAGCACGAGAGTTATTAAGACCTAGCCGTGCGTCACTCACATGCACGGCGCGCGATGTCAGTCAGACGCCTTGCTAATAGATCGATTGCCGTCAATCAATGTGAGCGGACGTGTCAATCACTTCAGCCGACGCGTTAATGGTCGCCGCTGTCACGGCGGCGGCGGCGGCGGCGGCGGCGGCGGCGGCGGCGGCTGATTTATGCTGTGATTTTTTTAATGAGGAGGGTGAAGCGGCGACACGCACGGCCCGCTGTTTCGTTTCGGAGTTCTTTAGAGTTTTCATTCGATTGAAGTCGATTCATAGAAAATCTGGCGTTATAATCACTAAACGCACGTAAATAGATTCGCGTGTGGTGGAACGCACAGCAGTTGGGCACGTGTTCCGTTATTTCTTGCAATGTAGGTCATCATTGCTACTCAGACTCGAATAAAAGGTTTTTTATGTCATAATGTTAGAAGAATATCATTTAACATCTCACCATCGTATATTTGACATGAGATAAGGGTGTAATAAGCCTTTTTTAGGTCACATTTGATACTACCACATACAAGAGCCCATAATTATTAATTAACCAAGTTTTCACAGTGCAGATGAGACTTCAAGTATTTGCATTAACATTTTTATCATAGTAGTGAGAGTATCCTCAGTAGAATGGCCAAGAAGTATTACATCATTGCTAGCTGTGGTGACCGTGTCGACCGTACTACGTCACGTGCGGCGGCCATCTTGTTACGTCACGCGCGGCGGCCATCTTGTCTGCCCGCAGGTATCGGCTACTCGGTAGTTCTCATCGCCTTCTACGTTGACTTCTACTACAACGTCATCATCGCCTGGGCGCTCTACTTCTTCTTCTCCTCGTTCACGACCAGCCTGCCCTGGCGCACCTGCGACAACGAATGGAACACGCGCAACTGCTACGACGGAAAGGTCAGGCAAATGTCCCGCACAGGTTACATTTGTCAGGGGTCAGGGGGTATGCATGGCAAAGGATGAGATATCAGCGTGGTTGATCACGATTATGGGCGAGCAGGGAATGAAGTATTAACGACAGGTGTACTCCCGTGAATACGTAGGCAACGTAAAGGTAACGCCATAACTGACATCTGAATGCACCGCACCAATGTTTATATTGCGTGTTTCCACTAATATATAATGCAACAACGAAAACGAGAACAAAAATATTAGTAGTAACCATATTGTTATGAATGTTAATATCACCCTCCTTTGCTCTTTCCTTTCTCATTCGTCCTCCTACTCCTTCCTCCTATTCCTCCTCCTCCTCCTCCTCCTCATCCTTCTCCTTCTCTTTCTCCTCCTCCTCCTCCTCCTCCTCCTCCTCCTCCTCCTCCTCCTCCCCTCTTTTTCCACATCATCGTCATCATCATCATGTCGATAATGACACAGTTATATCGTTACTCTTTCAGGAATCTTTAGTAAACAGGAGTGCGGCGGAGAGCGTACACAACAGCTACAATTTTACAACTGCGATCTCCGTCAACTCGACGCGGAAACGCGTGTCGCCCTCTGACGAGTATTTCCAGTAAGTAGCAAAGCTGTCGTCTCTGATGACGATATACCTTCACGGGTGCTACAGATATTATGATTTTTGCCATATGGTCGTTGTTGTTATTGCTGCAGCTGGTGTTGGTTGTGGTTTTTGTTGGTGGTGTTGCTGTTGTTGATATCATCGTCGTTGTCGTCGCCGTCGTCGCCGTCGTCGTCATCGTTGTCGTCGTTGTTGTTGTTGTTGTTGTTGTTGTTGTTGTTGTTGTTGCTGCTGTTGTTGCTGGTGCTGTCGAAGGTAATCATATATCGCTGATACTGTGCAGTACACGGTCGCAATGAACCACGTACAAGTTTTCCTTGACGCGATCAGACGCGACATGTTAGCGCTGTTGCTTGTGTTTAGTCGGCAGATGTTGGCAGTTCATCACGCGGACGGCATCGAGAACTTGGGACTAGTCAAGTGGGAGCTGGCCGCCTGCTTGCTTGGTGTCTACATAATCTGCTACTTCAGTCTGTGGAAGGGCATCTCGACGTCTGGCAAGGTGACAGCGCGTGTCTATCAGAGCGGCTATCCGTTTCAGTGTTCCCCCTTCACGTGTCTACTTGACCCGCCTGAGACGCTTTCATGCTGACCGATTTGTTATAATTGTAATGTTGATCGTGATATTGACACATTAATTGTCATTGAAGTCAGATGATTATCAAAAACTCATCATAAACGCCTTTCGACGTGTCCATCCCATGCAACACAAGCGGTTGTGATTGTAACGCGGCATGATATCAAAAGGGACTAACAAGCGCTGACTCATAGCTCTCTATGCGCGCGCGCGTGCGTGCGTGCGTGCGTGCGTGCGTGCGTGCGTACGTGCGTGCGTGCGTGCGTGCCTGCGTGCATACGTGCATGTGTGCGTGCGTGCGTCCGTGCGTGCGTACGTGCAGGCGGGCGCGCGTACGTGCGTGCGTGCGTGCGTGCGTGCGTGCGTGCGTGCGTGCGTGCGTGCGTGCGTATATCCGCGTGTGTATGTGCTGCAGGTGGTTTGGTTCACAGCCGTGTTTCCGTACGTCGTGCTGACATGCCTACTCATCCGGGGACTCACTCTGCCCGGATCCGGAGCCGGCATCAAGTATTATCTCACGCCAAACTTCACCAAACTCGTGGACGCCGAGGTGGGTAGCAAACTACGACGGCAGCGAGGTTACAACGCGTAACTAGTATTAACCCGTATACGATAACATCGAAAGATAGACAAATGGCTCGAAAGAGAGAGAGAGAGAGAGAGAGAGAGAGAGAGAGAGAGAGGAGAGAGAGAGAGAGAGAGAGAGAGAGAGAGAGAGAGAGAGAGAGAGAGAGAGAGAGAGAGA